TCTTAAGCCCTTTTTCAACGTAGGGAATAACCAAAAATCGCAGGTTGCAAAGTCCAGGCTGATACCATGTTGCCAACTTCATTCGATCGCGACGATTTCTCTGTAGAATTTTTGATTAATCAAATCTTTGTTTTTTTTTTCCCAGGAGAGAAGCTAAAAATCCTGGAGGGGTCACCTCTAAAAGTCATTTTCAAAACACTGTAACTTGGTCATTTTTTGACTTAGAGAGCACAGATTTGTCTTGTTTTATTGGTAATTGCTCGGTCTTTAAGACTACGCAAACCGCATTTTGATACCTACAACCGTTTGTCCAAAAAAAAAAAAAAAAACAATCAAATCTTTTGTTTATATCCCAGAAAAGAAGCTAAAAATCCTGGAGGGGTCACCTCTACAAGTCATTTTCCAAACACTGTAACTTGGTCATTTTTTGACTTAGAGAGCTCGGATTTGTCTTGTTTTATTGGTAATTGCTCGGTCTCTAAGACTACACAAACTGCATTTTGATACTTGATACCGTTCGTCAAAAAAAAAAAAAAAAAAAAAAACGTGCAGTACTTTTGGGACAACCTATGTACTAATCGAGCATTTAGATCTATTTTTTGTATATTTTCTTCTAGTATTTTCAGTTCTTTTGCTGCCTCTTTGTAAGAAAGATTTTGGGATAACGTAATTGTTTTTTATCTCTTTTTGTTTTATGAATTCAGGGCAGGTAAGCGAGAAGGTAAGATGTGATTGGTGACAACCGTAGCATTTTACCTCGTGAGGGCATATATCATGGGCTGGATGAATAACAGTACATTTACGGCAGCAAAGCTGACTTTTACCAATGAGATTGCCATTAAACTCAGAACGATGTCCATAATACAGGCAGTTATAGCACTTTATCAAATTGAAAAAGGAGGAAGTGGTAGAGCATTTAGTATAGAAAATGAATAGAAAATCTGTGGTTACAGACCCCTATCATAAAATATCTAATTTCATTGTAGGAAATAACGCATTGTCTTCGTTTTTACTATAGATTCGCCTAACGCTTATAATATTAAAGTATTTGTCCTGTAGGTATTGACCAATAGGGTTTATATTGAGATCACTATGAACGTTATTAACTATGGTTCTGTGTGTAATATATTTTAATGGAATATAGCAATTACATATTTCTTATGGGATTAGATTCACATAATTATCTATTAAGTTATTTGCAAAATCTTTACTTAAATTTCAATATGAATGAAATCTTTGTTGACCCTCTAAATATTCTTTCTCCCTTCGATTCTTTTAGAGTGAAGAAATTCACCCATAAGGGTAAGGTGTCTTTTTTCTATCTCATCTTTATTTAATGCAACAACAGAAGGGCCATTGGTATCTTTGTTGTATCTATACTTATTTTTGTCTTTAATAATGAAGGCTTTACGATTTTCTATGAGAATGGGTCTTACTTGGTCAGAGGCTGAAGGCTGGTCGGTTTAAGAAATAGTAGATGGTGAAAGGTTGACCTTAGAGTGGGACAACTTTGATTACGTATTATTGGTACATTGGGAGATAGGACTTGCGGTAGTTTGACTAGAGTCTAGGGTATCCATTGGAATGGGATTCTCCCGGATCAGCTGGAGAATCTAATTGATCCATGTTAACCTACAGAGCAGAGTTTGAGTTACATGGTGGAAGAAGGGCAGTTAGGAAACTGAAGAAACTCCACTGGTTAGACGAAAAACTAAAAAAAACTGAATCACATCATCATAGAGGGCAAAGTAAAAAACAAAAGGAATAAAGCCATGAGGCTGAAGATGGAGGTTAGTAAGTCGCAAGAGCCAGAAGAGGTAAGTGCAGCCAGATCAAAACTAGACTCGAGAATGGTGGCCACCCGAATTTTTATTTTTTGAATTGAATTGACTTCGCCAAAGTCGTCAAATTATGCAAGAAGTATCAAAAATGCGGTTTTTTGTACTATGTGGCAACTTTTCTGCAGAATTTATTTTACAAGAAAGAAATATAGATACTTTAAAGTTCAAAATCGATTATGGCATCAAAAAATATGATAAAGTCCCTTTTCTAACAACAATGCACAACTTCTAGGACAAAAATAGACCATAATTCCAATTTGTCTTAATTATTATAGGCACTTTGACTGTAAGCTATGTTTTACAATCAAAGCATTGGGTGCAGAAAGGGCATTTCTTGGTTGCCATGTCCCAAAATCTCCGCTAATGTTTCATACACTCCATTGACAGGAGCAAATTTATGGAATTTTTTGGAAATCTTGTTGAAAATTGGTCAAGCGGGTCCTGATCTAGAGCGGCTCAAAGTGCGTGCCGGCTCAAACCTATAATATCATCTAGTTTGACCTCCCAAAGTGGCAGAACTGAATCATGATTTGCAGCATTTGGCCCTTTTTGGCACTAAGCCAACGTACTATCTAGGGAGGAAATTATTGGGTTAATTTTCTAAAATTTTTCACTTTCAGCTCTGTAAAATCCTTAATAAATCCTATTAAATTCAACAAATTCCATAAATTTGCTTCTGTCAATGGATTGGATGAAATGTCAGCGGAGATTCTGGGACATCGCAACCAAGAAATGCCCTTTCTGCACCCAGCGCTTCAATTGCAGAACGTAGCTTACAGTCGGTATGCCTGGAATACCTAATTAAGAAGAATTGGAATTATGGTTTATTTTTTCCCTAGAAGTTGTAGATTGTTTTTAGTAAAGGAACTTTATTAGATTTTTTGATGCCAAAATCGATTATGAACTTTATTTGAAAATTCTACAAAAAAGTTGCCAAATCGTGCAAAAAACCGCATTTTCTGCACTTTTGGCACATTTTGACTACCTTGGAGAAGTCAATTCATCTCTGTTTTTGAATGATTTTCCTACTAACTTTCAGAAAGATGAAACCGTGTTAAGCAATACTAGAATTTGAATTGGGGAAGTGGACTAGTTCATTTTTGCCGTAATTTATGTGTTTGTGCCTTTGTCTCCATGAGGTTTTCTATTAGCAAAGGAGCATTTTTTTAGTGTAAAATACAGACTTTCTCTAGTTTTAAATTTTCTGGAAGTGAAAAATGATTAGCTCAAACTTCCTTTTTTCTCATTTATTTTGCACAAAAGACTCAGTTTAACTACTGTTAGTCCTTGAAAGAAGTGGTAGCACACCCAGCAAATACTTCACAAATTTGCTAAGCATTGCAAAATTTCTACTTTTTGTCTGAGGCAAGTAGAGCCTAATGTTAATGTATACTTCGCGGAAATACAACACAAGAAATTGACCAAAATTTCTGTAATAATGGGCCATTGAAAGATGTAACTTCCTTTAGTGATTGTAAATGACAAAAGACTAGGTGAAACGTATAAATTATTTACCCCAAAACTTATATGTTTTCAAGAATTCTATTTCAAATTAGGTCTTTTTCACCATCCCGCATACCCTCAAATGTCAGAAAAATGTCAAGGAATTTCATTTTCTACATCATGTGGCAACCCTGTGCTCGTGAACAATGTAAATTCCCCAAGTTTTCTTCATGATCATTACGAATTTTTTGCCGAAAATTTACCTTTAAAGTCGTAGTTGGCGATGCGTAACTGTCTGGACATTTTCCGTCTTCAAAGTCTCTTACCTTCAAACGTGACCGTAATTTGTCACGTTTTTTTACATGGAAAAGTTCAGAGTCATCATTCTTTTCAATAAATAACCGACGGTTTTAATCGTTTTGCCCTATTTTGTTCACAACCCATGGTGATGTGACTATTTCTGTTATCATGAAATCACCCATTGGTGAATCTTTTCTATCAAATACGCTTGATCAGTGGCGTAACGGGCGCCCCCGCAGACCCTGCTATGCAGGGGGGCCCAAGCGCCTAGGGGGCCCTCGGCCGCCGGATTTTTTTCTCTCTCTCTCTTTGATGCTTAGCTTTGGTCTCGAACTTTGGGCTTTTACTTACCAAGATGGGGCTTCTTCCGCTGATTTTTATTGTTAGCTCAGGGTTTTTCATACTTCCTTTGGACTGTTCCTGACTTTTTTTTTGCTGAAGGGCCCCTGCCTTCCAATTTCCACTCAGTGATTACTAAAAATTTCTCTTTTTTGTCACTTTCTGTAGGTATTTCGGGCTTTGGGTGACCCATGAATCTAAAGGGCCCACAAGGCCCTTCGGGGCCCTTCGATTCTTGGGCCTGCATGGGCCTTTCTGTAGATCCTGGGCCTGGGCTGGGCCCCCGCCACCCTTTAGATCCTTGATCCTTTAGGGGCCCCATTTAATCGGGTACGGGATCAGGGACGGTGAGAGGAGAGGCATTCCAAGTCCAAGTCCGTGATTTGAAATGTCTTGGGCCAAAAAACGGGAAGGGGTGAGGGGAAGAGAGGGGCGGGAGGGGGGATGATTTTGGAATTTTATCGACATGGGGGGGGGGGCTAGAAAGAATTTTGCAGGGGGGCCCAGCGGAAGTCCGTTACGCCACTGCGCTTGATAAAATATTTTTTAAGCCTCTGTTTAAAAGTCTTGTAATTAGATTAATCCATCAGTTGAAGAATGCATGTTTCACTGATGAAAAATATTTCCTGACGTGTGCAAGATGGTGAAAATGCAGCTCATAAAAGAAAGGGCAAGGTTTTTTAGGGAAAGGCTTTTTGCTTTTAGTTTGGCTAGCTAAAATATGTTCCCTCTTGTTCCCACCAACCGCGTGATTTTTGGCTTGTCAGCGCATTTTACAGGGTCCCAAGAAGCTTATTTGCAGAATTCTCACAGATTAGACCATCCTAGATTTTTAGCGGCAAAATTTTAAGAAATAATTACTTATATGGGAGCGATTACGCACGGTATTGTTTCCTCTAAGTAGTATTTCCATGTAGTTTTGCTAGGGTCTCTTTAATTCTGATTTGACATACTGCCAAATTTCAGATGAATGAATCCATCACGTTAAAAATCATTTTTCCAGCCGTTTCTATGAGTTTGTACTCACTCAAATGTATCCTGCTCAAAGTATTTGTTTTCTTCATTCTATTTTTCCAGACCTCCAGTTATTAGAGTAAGCGATAAGGTCATGATTCCGCAAGAGGAGCATCCTGATATCAATTTTGTAGGACTCTTGATTGGACCCAGAGGAAACACCCTGAAATGTATGTTCTATCTGAACCAGTGATGAGAACTTTATGAGTGAATTAAGTTCTTCATTTTTTTTAATTTAATTTTTCAAAGATTGTCTTCTTCTAGCAACGGGAATACAGTAGACCCTCATTTTTTGCCCAAGTTGAGTCCTGTGGAAACGTCTCAAATTAGGAGAAAATAAATAAATATCTGGAAACTTCCGAGTTTGACGTATTCAAAAGATTAGAACATTAAATTTCTTTTCATGAAATATTGGGGTTGCTCTGGGTAGAAAATCACCTTCACGGTGCGTTTTAGACTGTCAGCTTGAAACTCTGCGTAAATGACATTAAAGAGCCCAGGGCTTCCTAGAAGCCCTAAGGCAAGCAAGAAAATTCGAAAATAACATAAAAGCATCAGTACGGACCTAAGTGCATGATAAGATGTGTCACATAAAATTGAAAACTGTTATGAACCCTCGCTTCTACCTTCGCTGTGAATATGAAAATCAACTAAATATAGCATTTTCTGGGCCAATTTTGTCAGTTCGAAAACCTTAGCATTATAGCCACTTCACAAAACCCTTAAACGCCGTTTATGAATTAATACGTATGGAATCCCCATTTCGAGCCATTTGGCGACCTGGTATTTATTAGTAAACGAGAACTTTCTCTGCTCAAAGTTGCTTCGTATCGCCAAAGTAGTTAAGCCGGTCTTTTCAACATTTCAACAACTTGAACTTCTGCGAAATTTCTTTCAAATATCCTACATCGGCACAAGAACATCCATTGGAAGTACTTGTCGCCTTTTCTTCTTGTTAACACGGAACGTCACATCACAATTCACATCCTTGGTCCATCGTCTTGTATAGTTCGTGATTGCTTCCCATTCGGGTGCAATTTTTGCGATCGAAATATGCCAATTGTTTGTGCCAATTATACAGAAGTGGCAGTAGTGACTTTTGACCAGTACAATAGGCTCATTAAAGCCTCTGAAAAATGTGAAAATAATGAAGTCAGCTTTTAACGGCCATGTTGGAAAATGGCAGCCCAAAGTTGGAGAGCCATTAAATGACCTAGCTCAGGTCTCGATCCTTATTCATTCCAGATTCCTTAAATGACATTTACACCATGTTTCCTGTCAGTAACCCAAAACGCATCATTCTGACTCTTGAGTAACCCCACTGAAAAGACAATATGCTGAATATACAATTGTGTTGTTTCTTTTTAATTACCAGATTACCAAGCGGTCGTCCAGAATTTGCATGCTTCTGAAAAGTATGTTCCAAATGCTCAGGAAAAATGTCCTGATTGGTTGTTTGAGGACTCGATCAAATAGAGGCGAAATGTATTTGAGACCCAACAGTAGCTATCAAAGCATTGTATTTCAGGGAAGCAAAATGATGTTTTACGCTTTCAGCATATTATTTGTGGGTGACAATTCTCTTTTTTGTCATAATAATGATTGAGAAATATTTTGAAAAGAGATGACTGAAGAATTTTCTTTTTTAGTCAGGTTTTTTTTAGACAGATTACTCAGAATATCATTCATTATACAAAATTCAATTTTCATTTTGAAGTATAATTCCTGCCCTGCAAAAAGTTTTTTATGAGCTGTAACCCAAGCAGTCTAACTATCTGTGTGAAGCAAAAGGCTTTCATTTTCTATCATTAATTTTTCAAAAATGTCTAACTTTCCTCATCTTTTTCTTGTAGCAATGGAAAGAGAGACTGGTGCAAAAATAATCATTCGTGGTAAAGGCTCTGTAAAGGAAGGTAAGGTCGGTAGGAAAGATGGGCAACCGTTACCAGGGGAGGATGAACCCTTACATGCGTATGTCACAGCAAACAATCCTGAATGCGTGAAAAAAGCTGTTGAGAAGGTAAGATACTTAAATTATTATTTAGAATAAAAATATGTGTGGCATGAACCATCAAAATAAACAAGGACACTAAACTTCCAATGTAAACCTGTGTTAAAAACCGTTTTTGCGTAACTGTAGCAAACCTGGCAAAGGGTGCGGTGATCCAATCCCATAGCGATGCATAATCGTATGTTTATAGGAGATTGTGTTTTGCACAATGTTCGTTCCCTTCCCTTGCGTATTTAAATCACGCGGATGACACTTGCAGAGGAAAGGAATTTTCAAGAGATAGTACTCTATTTCGTGCGAAATAGTAAGTAAATTGGAATGGCAATTTATTCCAAGAGAAAAATTGATATTTTAATCTGATGCAGGAGGGATTCTGTATTACTCTGTTCCGTAATCTCTTGAACATTCTTTGGTGTCTCACATCTGCCAATTCATCTATAAATTTGATAATTTTTGATATTTTGATAATCTCTACTTTATTAAGCATATTTACCACCAATTTTGAGATTTTCTAACTTTAAAAAAAATACTGAACACAATATACCTGCAGTAAAAAGTTCATGTCTTATTTATTTGCTCTTATATTGAAGTAAAAACAGGAGGAGCACAAAATCAGAAAATTAATTCAATTGATATTACTTCACATTAACTCATGGAAATTAAGATCAAGATTCAAGTAATTTAGGTCCGAAAGGAAAGAATTCCTTATCAAGAATGGACAATGAGAGGCACTAACAAATTTGACCTCAAGAGAGAGTTAAAATATTGATCAGACGTGTGCAAGCAAGCTGCATAATAATTAGAAAGAATAGAAGAGGAAGGCACCATCAAATAGGGCAGGAAGTTAAGAAGAAATGGTTTTCCTATGAAAGTGTTTTTTCTTTCATCCGGATCAAGTAACATAATTTTTTATATGATTATGAGTATGTAAATACCTCAGTTTTTATTTTACTACAAAACTGAGAAGTTGGAACAGCATTGATGAATTGAGGAGTAGAACGCAGAACAAGCATCTCTCGAAAAATCTTGTTTTGAGATATAAGCAGTTGAAAGGTTGAATGTTGTTCCTGGTAACATGTTTGGCTATATGTTGTTCAATTGTTTTTTTCCATGAGAATACAAGTCCCAGGAAAAGCACTGACGGTTGCAATTATTTTTTGAAGGTAATTTTTTAGTTGAGTCTGGCATTCATGAAGGTATGGACCCCCTAAATAACCTTTGGACCCCCCTAACTTTTGATAGGGGGGTCGGATCGACTTCCGGTTTGCGCCAAAAATGTTTTTTTTTTCATGCTCTTTCTAACGATGTATCACATGATGGGGGTTGCCATTTGAAATTTTTGAGTTGCCCCCCGCCCCCCCCTCCCCCTGGGGGGGGGCGTGAAGAACTGGAAAGTACCTCAAAAAGCTTCCCCCTCGATATGAGGAAGGACGCCACAAACCGCAAATCGATATCATAATTAGAACTAAAGTTATGGCCAGTGGTGCGTAACTTTTGAATGACCCTGTATGAATGCTTTCAAAAATGTTTTACACCTTTTGGTTTCTTGATGTTTTTCTAGCCTTAAAATAACTAAAGAAGAGCAGTTGTGTTTTATAGTTAAAGTAAATTTTGCCAATAATAGAATTCAAATATCATGGGTTCTTTGCTAGCGTAAGTGGGTCTCTGTACCGGTTTTAATAGCGCTTTCTTCAAATCCTGATATGCTCCAACCTTTTTTCGTGAGAATCGTTCAGGACTTTCTACGGATGAGTTGGATTGATTTTCAAGAGAACTTGGTACATGGAGTAAATATCATGAATGTCTGTACGTGGCTTTATTAAACTATAATCTGAGTTTTCCCTGAAAAATCTTTGAAACGTGCTATTTTTCATTTTTAGTGGTTCATCACTTTTTCTTGAAAAAACTCCTGAAATCATGAATACAATTTTGTGACTGTTAAGTCTGAGTGATAGAAATATTTTTGTCAAGTTTTAGCCGTAAAGTAAAGTGATTTTTATGTGGGATTGATGCCAAATGAATTTGAGCAAGTTTCCGAACAAACTCTTTGGTTTCATTATTTTTGGTTCTAATGCCTCTGAAAATTTTAATGCTGAACTGTCCAGGGCTGTTGATAAGTTTCTTTTGGATAACCCCCAGCCTGCTATAACCAATTTGGAAAAGTCTGGAATTAAAATTGGTCTATACAGTTTCTTGACTTTCTAGTCCTTTAATTTAATGTGTCCAGATAAATTATTTTTAAGAAGTTTTTGGCTTTTCAACCCTCATCAAGTTAGCTAGGTGTGTATCTTGCTCATCTTTATTGGCTGATGTATAAAGCTTTCCAAAATTACATTTTTGATCTACGTCACAAACATGTTTTCAACAGGTTTTTCTACCACATGGTAAAATGATTGATAAGATAATCGAGCTACAAGCCAAAGAATAAATTAAACAAATGATATTTCAAACTACATAGAGATGAGAAATACCTAAAAACTCAAAGGAAACAAAACGAAACAAACGTTTGACTGCCAACAACTGCGGTCTGCTTCAGTGCAACAAGTGGAAACGTTTTACAAAAACAAATTTGAAAAACGAATAAAAAAAAACCATATAACAAAGCTGCAAAACTATTAGCAAACTAAGTATAGCGAAAATACAAATCTATTGGAATAAAATCAAAATAAGGCAAAATTCAAGAAGAAAGAAGAGTGATAGCAGTGATGAGCAGGAAGTAGGTAAATAATATAACCAAAGACAAACAAAAAAAAAAACAGAGGGGAACTACAGCACTTACAATGTTCTAAATCCCAAACTTATAGTAAATGTAAAACATCTTCGCGCTAAATTAATTCATGAGGCTATCAGAATCAAAAAGTGTCCGGATGCTGTTAATTTCTGTACTGACACCCAATGCCGTAGTATGTAGTGTGAATGAAAAGTTTTTGTAAATCATGCATTGCTGTTAGCATTTTTTTGTCCGGGTTGGCCTCCTCTATATTGCTTCCATTCTGTGTTATTGAGCCCTCTTGTAGACTTTAGTGAAACCTTGCCTGTCTATGCTGTAGTTCCCCTCTTTTTTTTTTTTTTTTTTTTTTTTTTTTTTTGTCTTTGGTTTTATAATTTACCTACTTCCTTCTTATCACTGCTATCTTTCTTCTTTCCTCTTGAATTTTGCCTCATTTTGATTTTATTCCAAAATGTAGTTGCAATAGATTTGTATTTTTGCTTTACTTAGTTTGCCAATAGTTTTGCAGCTTTTTTATGTATTTTTTTTATTCTTTTTCAAATTTGTTTTTGTGAAATGTTTATGTAAAATCTCACCAACAATTCGAATTTTCCGTCGAAAAATGATCTCCGATACCGAGTTTTACGAAAATCAATCGAACAGGAGTGGACTTAGCATTTTAGGCCATGGCCGCTATCTGTAATTTCGAAATATTGAAAATCTGACCAAAAATTCGAGTTTCCCGTCGTAAAAAACCCTCCGGATTCCGAGTTTCACGAGAATCAATCGAACAGGAGTCGACTTAGAATTTTAGGCCACGGCCGCCATCTTGGATTTTGAAATATTGAATATCTGCCCAAAAATTCGAGTTCCCCGTTGAAAAATACCCTTCTGTCCCCTAAATTCCACAAAAATCCGTCACAAAATACCTCCTTAAACCTTAAATTTCGTCTACAAGGCTGTGACGTCACGCGACAGGATTGAACCTGTTCGGCGCGGTGCGCGTAAACAACCGCGTATCTCCAATGCAATACTATAGGGAGAATCAACTTTTCGCGCTTGCGGGCGTCCTAGGCTGCAGATTGGAATCGGAATAATTTTGATCAACTCCTCTTGATAATTGCTAAGTTCAAAGGAAATCGCTTCGGCCAATTTTTCTCTAGGGCGGGCAGAGTGAGCCGGTGAGGCAGCTTTATATAGAGTAATAATAATGACTGCCATGATTAAGCAAGAAGAACAGAATCTAACAACAAGCGGGAAAGCTCTAATACGTAGGTATTTGAGAAGCGCTCAGCGGTGAGCGCAATTTTAATGAGTCTCAGCTTTAATTTACTACCTATTAACTGAGTATGTTTAAATTTGCAATAATAAAATTAAGTAATTCTTAATACATTAATAAAACATCTAAAATGGTGATTGCCCCCCCCTCCTCCCACCATAAAGAATTCCAAGATCTAAAAGAAAAAATAATGATCCATTACTTAAATATTGAAATTTTAATACATGAAAAATCCTTGATTTCTCATAAAAACAGAAAAACCTATTACGGCTCCAAGAAAAATAACTTTTCTAGAACACTAAAAAAAATGTATCAAAGATGCACGTATCACTTAACGAAGCCAAATTAGTTGTTTTAATGTTGCCCTTCTTGGACAAGTAAAACATAATATAGGTAAATAAATGAGAGAATTATGAATATTAATAGGTAAATGATGAGACAATAAACGAAATCAATCAACTACAACTGAGTACTGAAGGTAACTTTTCGCGAATCGAAGGCACCATAGGTGTCTGGTTCGGTGGCGGGCAACTAGGTTGCAGCACACTATGCTAAAACCTCCTAATGACCCATGGTGTACACTCTCCTCTGTTTATTCTCTGTGATACAATTTCTTTTCTTAGTGATAACAGATGCAGGATAACAATAATAATCTAAAACCTAAATAGAGAAAGAGAATTCGTACAATACCAGAATTACAATCAGGGTAAACGGAAACTACATTCATTTTTTCCTCCTCATTAAATTATCTTGAGCCATAGTGAAAAATCTTTCTAATTCTCCTTCCACAGTTCTCCTTCTGACCGCAAATTGTTAATCGTGTTCTCCTGAAAAGTATAACTTAAATCCTACCTTTCATTCAGTAGATTTGTAATTTATCATATATTTTAGGAATTTGAATAGGTTTACAGTAATTTCTGGCCAACCAAAGGCAGAAGTTGCCTCTACGCCTTAATTTATAAAGGTAACTTACGTTCTTTGTAATTATTAAACCATGCTGGCCCAAATATCTGAAACCTT